ATGGCCATTTTAATCATTAACTGTCAGCATGTTCCAGGCACCCACAATATACTGAACCACTTTCAGAAGATAGTTTTGAACAATCACAGATCGCAAACAAAGATAATATGGCTGAAGGACTTATTTGCAAATGGGGAAAATACAGTGTAAAACAATCTGTTGCAGAAGAGGATGCATTTATGATTTATGGAAAATTGATAGGGAACTTATTTTCTACTAATCCGTCCTTTAGGAATTTGCTAGTAGGGTGACTGCTTTCCACTGTGCAACTGGATTGGAAGCAAAAGCCACCAGAAGGGAATGTCCAAGTTAGCAGAAGTATCACCCCAGTGCAGCCAAGGCAGTGCTGGTATCCAGACCTTCAGTGCTTGTCTGTGCAGCCACCAAAAGCCCGGTCACTGTTTCCAGATGTGGGGTATCATGATGACTGATTCAATGTCTGGATCCTGCAATGGCTCACTTCCAGTGCAGGTCCAGGATTGACCTCAAGAGAGAATTTGTTCTTCAGATATGCAAAGCATCAGTGCAAGCTGTTCTGCAGAGCCACTTATCTATCAAATTCTAAGTCCCTATAGTCTTTTATATGTCTCTGTCCCACCCTATGTCATTCTGTGCCTTTTCCAAGTTCCTGTAGCAGCTGTCACCCACCCATTCATTCAGTCTATCAGATCTTCTGCTTTTCCTTATCTGACAGTGTTGGAACTTCTGGCAGCTCGGCTAATTCTCCTTTCAGTGCAGTAGAATCATAGAATAATTTTGTTTAGAAAAGGGCTCTAAAGTCATTAAGTCCTACCATTAACTTAGTACTGCCAACCCTACCACTACACGGTGTATGCTTCCTGAGCACTGCCAGAAAATGGGTTCCACAAAGGTACTGAGTCCCTCCAGCCCTATGTTTGTTATCTTTTATCTCCTCTGCAAAAGGAAAAGTAAGTTGGGTTTGCTCTCTTCTTTGGTCTCTATCCACTCACTCTCTTCCTCTGCTTGCCAGTGATCAGTCCTAGGAGCAAGCTGGAGGGCTTATAATGGCATGCAAGGACTGAAGAAGGATCAGCACGTGCTGTGTTATGTCTGTTGCTGAATCACTGAATTGTAGGGATTGGGAAGGAGCTCTGGAGATCATCTAGTCTAACCCAATGGCATGCTTGTCAATTACTTTTATCACACATTTATCATGGGTGGAAAGCATAGAGCAGTCATTGCAGAAGGCCTTCAGTGAGTGCTGCAGACTGCCTTTGAAATTCAAAGAAAATTGAGTTCCTAACACCAAAGTATGAGTAAAACCCCAGAGTTGATGTTTCCAATCCATTGCCTTTTTTCCAGCCTAGAATGAGGATGGAACAATGCTGCAACATTTAATTCTCAATTTCTGCAAGCACTCAGCTGGCTGTTGTGGCAGTAACTTGCTTAGAAAGCAAAGCACTAAATTCATTCTGCAAAGCAGATTTGTAGACATTACTGTTTCCAACCTTTAGGGCAACATTCATCATCTTTCTAACCAGAAAGAAGCCACCAATTACTGAGCCACTGCGTGAGAATGGAAGTGGAGTAAGAATTCTTGGGGAAATTTACACGTCAGATCACTCTTAGAGATAAAACTTTGGGGGGTTATTCCAGCAGCAACGACGTTATGGTCCAGGACGCCGACGTTCCCTCTTTTTTAACAGAAGTCAGATTTATTTTGATTTGACATGATGACTGGTGATTTACATCCCGCCCACCCATCTGAGAGTACTCTGAGCTCCAGGCACATCTCCAGCCATTTCCAGACTATTCACATCACGGTTGGTCCATCCATGCGCTAGTCACAACAAGGCCTTCTGTGACTAATTATGGCCTGACTGCAGCAGGAGATGCAGCTTCAAAGAGTGGGAATCTTCAGATGCGCTAGCAGCTCCCTTGGTTCCCAGTTCTTTATTTATGTGGCTTACATTGAGCTGACAGATTTAACTGGGCCGTTGAAGATATGGTCAAAGCAGCAGAGTCACTCCCTTCCCTTTTATTGTTTTCTGAAGACATAACAGGCATACGCATCTGTCAGTAGAGAGGAAGTTCTCCATCGCTGGGCTTGCTTTGGGCTTTTACATGCTGTTTCAGTAGCATCTGGGAATAGATCAATATAATATTTGGTAGGGAGTTGTATTTCCTCGTGATGCACTGTAAATCTTTTATTGTAGATACTCCCACTGTTTATTGTTGAAAATCAATAAAAATAAACCTTGTAAAGTTAAAGCCTGGCAAGGGTTCAGCGCAAATCACAGGGAAGGAATAAGAGGCAGTGAGTCTCCCTCCTCCTCTTGGATAGTTCCCAGCTTGTTTCCCAGTGAATATTCAATAACACTTTCCAGCAATCTGGAAACAGATTTTTATTTTTTTCCTAATTATTCATAGTTATGCACTTGAATTGCTGTGATCTCAAACAGGACTGACTTCTTATCCACTTTGGCTGCTTTCTGGCACTGAATTCAGCTGTGGATCAGAACTGCATCCCACATAGACTATGGGTTGGATATACCTTAGCTTTATCCCTTCCCAAAACAAAGACACTTAAGCCTTGCAAAGCTCAGATTCACTGGTTATTTCTGAGCATTGCAATTGAAAATGAGCCAAACAAGGTAAAAACTGGGAAGATAATAGACCTTCCAATGAAAAAATAAACATAGGGTAAAATCTAACTATAAAAGAGGGGGGAAATATTAACATAAGAAAGAAATACAAGATGATCTCAGGTGATGGCAAGTGGTCTCAAATTGCACCAGGGGAGGCTTAAATCGGGTATCAGGAAAGATTTCTTCACAAAAGAGTGTTCAAGCACTGGAACAGCCTCCCCAGAGAGACAGTGGAGTCCCCAGTCATGAAGATGTCCAAGACACATGGACGTGGCACTGAGAGAGACATTGTAGTGATGGGACTTGGTGGGTCAGGCTGATGGTTGGACCTGGGGATCTTGAAGGTCTTTTCCAACCTCAATGATTCTGATTCTTTCTGAATTACCGATTTTCTACAAGTGAATCATAGAAGCATAGATTGACCTGTGTTGAAAAGGACCACAATGATCATTGAGTTTCAATCCCCCTGCTATGTACAAGGTTGTCAACACTAGACCAGGCTGCCCAGAGCCACATCCAGCCTGGGGCATCCACAGCCTCCTTGGGCAACCTGTTCCAAAGCATCAAGTGAATGAAAGCAAATGAAGCATCAAACCACTATCATCCCTTTTTAGAAAATCTACTTCTGCGATGTAAACTTGAGCACCTGCCGGACAGAATGGCAGCATTGTCTTACAGCTTCATTTCCTTTCCCTCTAGCAGCCCTACTGCTCTGGGATTCCGCTTGTGTGTTACAATGCAAAGGAGAATTCACTGCACATCCAGAAGTAGGTTGGATTTCTGGGACAGTCTGCAAATTTTTTGCTGAATGCAATGAAGAATAAAAAGGCAACCGTAAATGGACTGAAATTAGCAAATTTTCTACCTTCTGGACAAAGGAATTCTCTTGAGAAAGTGGGCAATGAGTTGAAGAAGTAGAATATCAGTGATCACAAATTCCAAGTTAACTGGAAAAACAATCCAAGGTTTCAAAAACTCCTATTTAATCAAAAATAGAGGTAGCTGTGAGCAATCAGAGCTCCTTGTTCTCCTGAATGAAAAAACATGACCAGATCTCTTCCACCGTGCTTCTAGTCCAGCACAGATTGTATTGGGAGATGCCATAGCTTGTGGACCTGCCAAGATGCGTGTGAAATTAGTCAGTTTAACACGTCATCTGGTTTTGACCAAAAGGCTTGAAAATCACCCAGACTTGTGGTTAATTTGTGCTCTGATCAGCCAAATTCACTTCTCTCTCTGCAACTGCTGCCTGCTGGGGAAATGCACCAGTGCGAAAAGCTCTGCTGCTGATATACTTGTTGAATAATTGCCATACACACATGTGCTCTTATACTTCCTAAAGCAACTATAAAGAATAGAAGAAAAAGAAGGGGGGGAGAAACAGGCGCAAAAATGACACATCTCAGTTAATTGCTAAGAATAAATTACAGAAAAGCTTTGGAATCCCTGTTTACTAATTTTCATATGCACAGGTTCTTGGTACATGGCCCTAACAGGTCAAGATAAAGTATTTATGGTTCTTTACAGGGCAGGAGGTTTCACTGGGGTATTCTTCCACAGCCAAAATATTAGGTACATAGGATGGTGTTTGTGCTGGATAAGTTAACCCATGAGGGTGATCTTTCCCCTCTACTCAGCACTGCTGAGGCCCACACCTGGAGCACGGGGTTCAGCTCTGCAATCCCCCAGTACAAGACAACCTGGAAGAGAGAGTCCAACAGAGGGGCACAAAGTTGATGAAAGGCCACAGAAACTTCTATGAGGAGAAGCTGGGAGAGTTGGGACTGCTCAGCTGCAGGGGGCTCAGGGATCCCATCAATGTCCATACATACCTGAGGGAGGGTGCCAGAGGCCAAAGCCAGGCTCTGTCAGTGGTGCCTGGTGCCAGGACCAGCGGCCATGGGCACAAACTGCAGCACAGGAGGTTCCCTCTGAACACCAGGAGCCCTTCTGTGCTGTGCAGTGATGGAGCACTGCCACAGGCTGCCCACAGGCCGTGGGGTCTCCTCCTTGGGGATCTCCCAGAGCTGCCTGGACGTGGCCCTGGGCACCCTGCTCTGGGTGTCCCTGCTGGGGCAGGGGATGGAGCAGAGGGACTCAGGGAGCCCAGACAGCCTCAGCTGTGCCGCAATCTGTGAAATGGTTGTATCAAATTTTCATTTTGCCAAAACCACAAAGCACGAGTAATGATGTAGGTTAAAACATATATATTTCTTTTTCCTTATTTTAAAAGAGTTCAAAAATGGCTGTTACAGCAGTGAAAATAAACTCACTGCTTCTGCAGTAGGTGAAATAGCCTAATTTTGTTAGTAAAAAGTCTAATGAAAGGCCTGTGCTCAAAGCATTAACATATTGGTTGACATTGACAAAAAAATCCAGTTTGAAGTGAAAGCGTGTTCCATAATATTTACTACACGTATGTAGCCTGCAAGCAGCTTAGGAGATGTCGTCCCACAATCACATTATTTTACCCCTGGAAAGCTCCAAACACCTGTGTCAAGCTAAAATGCTTTATGGTAGCATAGAGAAAATAAACATCTGATAGCAGCACCAGAAGTCTGAAATGATCCATTCCATTGCAAACGCTACAAACATGAAACAGAAGACTGATCCCCACCACCCATCACCATTCCTAAGTGCAGTAAAGAAATTCACTCTTTAAAGCTAAAGGAAAGCCAGATCTAATTATTCAGACAGGCTGATGTAGCATGTTTTCTCAACAAGAAACAAAATCAGATTCAAATAATGAATCCTTGACACTGCCATGATCTGCCTGTTAGGTAGGACAAAAGGTTCATCTATAAAGCCTCGATAACTCTCCCATACCTGAGATAATCCTGGCACTTTTACAAACCATTGTACAGGGTTAAAATTCCCAAAGCGACCTCTGCCAAGCCTCCTTCCTGAATACCTTTTCATTTAACAAGCACTAAGAGATACCTTGTGCTATTTTGTTTAAAATTTCACCAATTCTTCCATCTGAAGGACTGTTCATCACATTTTTGTTCTTACAGTTAAGGCTCTAAGAACTGACTGACTCTTTGTTTGCATCACAAGTATTTTCTGAGGACCTTTATCATTTAATTCTCAGCACTAATGAGCAGCTCAGTGTCTTCAGAGTGTGGTGAGAGGACAGAGGAGTATTTTGCAAGAGACAGTGGCACATTATTATTTCATGAACGCCAGCAGTGGCTTCACAAAGCCATGCTCTCGTGTCTCCAGTCCCACAGCAGCATAACTTGTGACCTTGCCATTACAGGAATTGGTGTTTCCAAAGCAGAAACAACCTCCAGTCTTTCAGGTTGACATTCCTCTTCCAGACACTTCTCCACACTGCTTCAGTCCTTTTTGCATGCATACAAAACTCCTTTGCATGTGATCACATTTGAAGAGCACAGAACATAGGAATAATTTTCTAGAAGGAGTGACTGATCTTCTGTGAGTCACAGAAGTTTTAGCCACAGAGAAAAACAAAAACTGCCCTTGAAAGTACTGCAATCTGGTCCACAAAAACAGCATTGAATCTGTGGTTCTTTTATTTAGAATTAAAGAGGGTGGAGCAGGGAAAGGCAGGAAAGCATTTATTTTTCCGCCTCCTTTTTTAACAAGTTGTTTGTTTGTTACTTCCCTCAATAGCCGCAGTTTCAAATGAGCAAACAAACAAACAAAAGAAAGGCCACTGGTGCTGACACACACCACCTCTTCCACCTTCACAGGAGTATAGGAAAATGCATTATTTCCCCTTCTGCACTTGGCTTCTCCTCGCCTGCACTGTCCCAGAGCTCTCTGGGTGTTGGTTTGCAGCAATGCTAAGGCTTACAGGCCTCTGTGTTCTTTCAAAACTGTAGCATTCCACTTTTTCGTCACTGGAAACTGTCCTGGTGCTTATGAGGCGAAATCCATCTTTGAGCAACGTGTCAATCAGCAGGCCTAGCACGTTAGTACCATTTATCAGCATTCTGTTGTCAGGTTTTATGGAAACGTACCTGAAAGAAGAAAAAAAAAGCAGTTACAGAACACTTCTAATACTTTTCTCAAAGGATGTAATCAAACAACAAAAATAATCAAACAAAACCAAGTGCTCGGATGGAGCACGCCAGCAGTTGGCTGCACACACCTACAGCCAACATGCTGGACCTCTTGCCCGCTTTGAGGACAACTTCACTCCTTCCCTCTTTGTAAGAGCAGCATTCCTCAGCTTGCCGTTTACAGACTGAGCAATAAGCCCTTTTCCTTCACCCCCACAACAAAATTTACTTAAACCAGCAGAGAGAACCCTGAATTAATTTCATTCAGTGCAAGAGAGGTGGATGGCATCCTCTGTGTAATATGTGACAACTTCCCACTTCACAATCCTTTCCTGTGATGGAAAGGACAGCAAGGCAATGTACATCCCAACAGCACCACTTCCCACTACACAGGATCTCTCGAGGAGCAGTGACATTTATTGCAGTCACCCCATACAGCAGCTCTGGTGGTAACAAGTAAGAAAATCATTTTCACATCACTTCAGGATTTTACTTGGTATCAAGTACAGTGTAAGAATCTACCCAGTTGAAGGAACAGAAGTGAGATAAAAGTACTGTTACAAAATACATAAGCTTAGGAGTGAAATTGTCCCACAGTTCACAGGGAAGTACACCAAACATTTACGGAAAGCACACAGAAAAGATGCCAGCACAAAGACTGAGCCAAGAGAAATTCAGCAGGCTACAGTGCCAAAGCTGGCTTGTTTCAGGGGGGTTCAGCATCAGGGGATGCTCTTCTACTGATATGCAAAGGAAAAGTCCTACAAAGTCAGAATTAAAAAAGGAAAGAATCAGGAATATTCCACTTAAGCAGTGGAATAGTAGCCATAACGTGCTCAGCCAACTGTCAGTCCAGTAAAATAATTTAAAATAGATAAAATTGAGGTTTGCCATATAAATAGATGTCCCTTCACAAATGCAAAGTAGTTCTCTCTCCCCTGTGCTTGCTTAGCTGAAGAGAGCTAAAAGGAAGATAGGCTCTATTGATTTTTTTTTTAAGACACAATCAAAGGACTGCTGTGTTAATTCAAATATTCAGAGAGAATAACCCTTTTGGAACTATTTCAATGAAATTTCCATGAAGTTCCAGATGTTCCAGCTGCCACAGAGGACAAATGAGGTTACATTTTCTTATACAGTAAGAATGTGTCCCCATACAATAGAGACATCCAGCAAGAGCTTGTTTTAAAAAATATAGGTTGCTATTGGAATATGATGCTGCTATCACAAAAATCATTGATTTATAGCGATCTCAATTAAACAAACTTTGCTCTGAGAAAACCCACTGTGTAACCCATAGTTAATAATACACCCCTTCTTCCTGGAATAAAAAGGCTGTACAAAAGCTCTCCAGTCCCTGAACTGCCATCTCAGTTCCTCTGGTGTTTTTGACCTGTTTAGCCACCCTTTATTTCCTCTTCTCAACATGAAAGTCTACAGGCCCGTAAGCTAGTGGATTTTAGCCTCCTCCTGTACCTCACTGCTTATTTATTTTGCTTTCTTTGCCTCATTTCATGCCATTTTTCGAGTTTTCTACGAGGTCACCGATGCTACGAAATTCTAAAGCCTTGCAGAGAGAGCACAGAAGAGAGACCCAACCAAACACAAAAACGAACATCAAGGACAGTGTTTCAGACAGTCAGGAACATTTTTAAGAACAACGTGACAGAAATCAAACAGGGTACTTCAGAGCTGGAAAACATAACATTAAGCTAGCAGAAAGAAGGAAACATTTTTTTCCTCTGACAATTGTCCAACAGTTTCTTCACAATGAGCTTGCAGAGTGTGCAGAGCGTATTCCATGAAGTAGAAGCCAGGAAGCTGTTTCTATCATGAGAAGTCACATTCTGGAGAGTACCTGGCCACAAACCGGTCACCAGCAGAGCAGTCGGTTCCACACTGAAAAACCATGTCGTGATGAGAAGGCCTTTCCAAAGGAAGTGGAATTAGTGGTTTCTGAGAAGGCAAAGGACTGCTCCAGCCCTGCCCTGGCAGCTGCCCCGTAAGCACAGTGATCTGCTCAGCCAGTGACTCCACGGTGCTACTGCAGGAACCGAAGATCCGGAAAAAGGCCTGCATCTCCTGGAGGAAAAAACGCACCTCCAAGATCTCCAGCCTCGGCTTCAGGAGGTGTTCCTGGCCCAGGAGCTCAGCCAGAGGGTACAGCTCATAGAATTCCGCTTCTCTGCGCAGCCTCTGGAAGTCTGAAAAATCAGCAGGCAGAGAGACCTGAAGAGTCCTCAAGAAGTCCATGATGTAACCGAACAAACCGGCATCTCTGTCCACAAAAAACTCTCCGTTCACCAGTTTAAACTCCGGGTCGTCACCACCCAACATGCGTGCTAACCTGGACTCGGGGAACCGCAGCAAGGTGCAGGGCCGGGTTACAAACCTCACACCTCCCACACTCACAGCAACCACCTCTCGACCGCTCATCGCTACCTCAGCTCCGCTCCGTATGTCTGTGACTTGATCTCTGCTACCCCACCGGCCATCTGGAGCGACGTGTGGGGCAGCAGCAGCGCTCCCAGGTAACAAAGATGCAAATACAATACTTTTGTTTGCAGGGCTTGGTTGCTTGGAAACTTTGTTTCTTGGAATTGAAGCTTGCAAGGACTACTGGAAGACAGCAAACTGATCATCACAATATATTAAATCACGATAGAGGCCAAGGAACGTCCCCGAAGTATGGCACCCATTTCTTTTCTTTCCTGGAAACGTGGACAGAATGCTTTTATTCTATATATTGCTGTTCATAGGACTACTGTAAGAAAAAGGGAGATGTACTTCAGGCCACATATTTCAGGATCATATGCTCTTAAAGAAGGGCACTTCAGCAAACTCAAGCTTACAGTTCACTTAAAGCCACTGTTATCCCACAAGCAAGCCAGTAACACCCATAAAACTCAATTCCCAGTACATTAAAAGATCATACCTATGTCTTCGATGTTAAAACACCACCAACATCGTTATTCCCAAGGCCCTACACACCATTCCAAGCAAATCATCCCATCTTTTTTCCTGCCTCTCAGAACTACAATCTGGATTGACACAGATGGAGAGAAACTGTTCCTCCTGCCATCTTTGCAGGCCTACAACACAAGCTGCCTTCTCACCACACTGACTGTCAGCATCGAAGCCACATCTTAAGGAAGCATGGCTTCAAAGAGACATGGATGAAACAAGACAACCCAGGCTAGAGAAGTAAACTGCAAAGTATAGAGAACCTTGCAGCTTGTTCTCTTATCAATATCAGTTGATTTCTTTTTACCTCTAGAATTTATTCGAGGTGTTTACCCTGAATTTGTTTTTGTAGTATAGAACATGTAAACAATAAGCAGTATCTACAGTAATCAGAACACACAGGAAAATTCAACTTGTGGTTTTACAAAAATATATAAAAACACATATACATACATATAGATATATTCACCTACGTACACACATACGTTTATTTTTCAGGGAATACAGGTAAAACCACCCTCAGGTAGAAAGGGATTCCAGACTGAACTCTACACTGTGTTTTGCAGTAGAAGGGCAATCTTAAACCCCTCAGATTACTGTACACTCTTCTCAATCACAGCTCTTCTTTTTGTTTCCAAACGACTTTCAAATTAAGAAAAAAAAAAAAAAAATCAACTATGCCCTATAGGAGTGCTTTTTATCAAAGAATATACAATTTCTTACTCCACAAGCATTTTGTCATTATAGTAAGTACACAGGCCCTAAATTTCAGTAAGGAAAATGATTTTAAATGAATATTCCATAATCACCACCACAACAGAAGTCCAGGAACATGTTTTTCAGAGCTCTGTTTCACCTTCAGTTTAGTAGTGCTCCAACTACACGAACATTACAGACATTCTGAAAACATTTCAAATCTCTGATTGCTTACAATGAAAGTCTTTAAAAAAAAAAAAAAATTAATTTTACAACGTTCTACGTTTTTTTTCCCCATCAAATCTCTTTCACTTCTTACATTTCAGTAAGGACTTCACAACAGTTTATACTTGCACACAAACTGTGCAACATTATCCAGTACAACCAACGTGTAGTTTTTACATTTCTCACTCAGAAGTGAGGCTCCATCAGTCATCTGTTCCCAATAAAAGACTGCATGATCAGCTATCTCCACCGTATCTGCCAGGTAGGACAAGCTAATGGTAAAGAACTGAGATTTCCAGCACTGGAAGTTGTCAACCACAGACTCCACAAAAGACATTCTGGTGACAGCAAGAATAAGCAAGCAGATGAGAGAGGCTACTATAAATCTGCGTGAAAAGACTGAGGGAATCTTCAATTTCAGGCTGTTGTTTTCCTGAGGTAAAGAAAGTTTGTCCACGTCAACCAATTTGATTCCATTCCACTGGCTGGTATCAAAGCTCTTCATTGTAGGGGTGATGTCCACACTGGAACAAGGTAAAGGGGTTTCTCTGAGCACCTTGATTTTTTCCCTGAACTCCTGCATCTGTTGCAGGAATACAATGGGTTCCGACACGTCTTTGAAGGCCTCTGCAATGTTAAAAGCCATCCGCTGCTCCTGCAGAATCGAGTTCAGTTTATTGATCTCCGGATCGTAGGCCTGCATCACTGCAAGCTTCATGGTCTCAAAGTCAGAGAGAATCTCGTTTCGCTTCTGCTCCAGCGTGTGCTGCAGTTTATCAAAGAATTCTTTCACCTTGTCAGAATCCTTGGTCAGCATCTGCAGAGCTTTCCGCTTACTGGTTTCCAAGGTATCCAGCCGAGAGAGCGCATCTCCACAACGCCACGTTTCAAAGCCCTGAAACAGGGTTTCAAAAGCCCGCTTCTCCTGGGAATAAGCTTCCTCGATGGAACAGAACATGTGCTTTGTATGGTCACCACGGGTGGCACAAACCCCACAGATGAGCTGCATGTCTGTCCGGCAAAAAATGTTCAGGGGTTGCCCGCTGTGCACTTTGCACACGGGCATTTTTGGAGTTATTTTGATTTTGTTGTACTTTTCCACGATACCCTTCAGGGAATAATTGACTTGTAAGCTGTTGACTCCAGTAACAGGAGTTTCCTTCCTGCACGTGGGACATTTGAAAGGGGATGGCCTCCACAGCACGTTCCGCACGTTTCCATCCAATATTCCCTCCAGACACTTTCTGCAGAAGTTGTGTGAGCAGGGCAGGACACGAGGATCATCAAACAGGCTACAGCAAATGGGACAGGTGAGATCTTCTTCTAGGAGCTCCATCATGTCCTGGGAAAGAGAACAAAGATGGTAACAGAACTTACAGGATGTGCTTCTCCTCTCCAGGAAACACACAAAAGCTGATCTCCATCAGAGGATCTATTTTTTTCTCAAGGATCCCAAAGGCAGAGCCCCTGATGGGCTGTGACAACCCAGCCCAGAATCAGATCTTCCCCAAAGGGATCAAGTTAGCTGTGGAATCTGGCCACCAGATGGCAGGCACAGGAACGGCCTGGGGTCCAGTCAGAACCATTTTCTCACTCTCAAATAGAAATACTGGAAAAGGGCTTGCCAAGCAAGGCTTTCCATGTCGAATGAAAATAGCTCATGTACTAGTAATTCAAGGCTTCCATCTTCCTGCACTGATGCAATATGCAGAAACATAACAGATAAAAACTTAAGGAGCTTTTCCTGCTCCCACCACATTTATAAATAACCAAGTGAATGTGTTACTGTTGAGCTGTTCAGCACACAACCAGCATAGTTCAAAGGACAGCTGCCCATAATTTTTGATAATTCAGAGCAAAATAAAACTGTTAACTACTTTTACTCATCCACCACCTCTATTTCCAGTTCTCACAGCACTAATGCCTCAGTAGTTTCCTCTTGTGGACAAGACCTACAGGAAAAGGATTTACCACACTCCTCAGTGCTGTAAAGTCTCAGTGGAGGGATGCATTCCTCCATCTTCCCAATGCCTCTAAGCCAAGTTCTCAGACACTCTGTCATTAGAGCAGGCTCTGAGAACACAAGTCACTAATAAACACCAAACAGGGCACCAGCTTGTATGAGCCAAAACTCTTACACACTTAGATTTGAGCTATAATTAAAAGGATGCTTCTCTTGTATAAACTCAATCCATATTATGCTATAAAGTATGTAATAAAATGCCTTTTATAAATTAAAAGATGTATCACAAGAAGAGCATCAAAGTAGTTCTATAACAAGCAAAGCATGAATGAATGAGCTCCTTTATCTAGTTCTGATGTTATTGCTATGGTTCCTCTAAGAAATACAAAATGGCAAAGAAAGAGAACCAAGAGAAGAGCTACAAGGAAAGACACATGCTGCATAGGACAAGACTAATAAAATACCACTGATCCTAGGAAAGCACAGGGAAGAATGGCAAGGCCAGTCCTGAGTTTCTTTCACAACTAGACAGATGCAGTCACAGCAAGACCTCACAGTTCCCATGCTTCTCCAGCACCAAGGAAGAGGGGAATTCCCCCCATTTGCCCGGATAAAGGAGTTTGAAAGAGTTGCCAACTTTTCTACTCACCCTGAGGACTAAGGTCATCAGGCAAAAGGCACCTGTTAGAGGTAGGGACAAATGCTGGAGAAATGGTCTAATTACTTCATTTGCCGCCTAAGGTTTCCTTTAAGGCCACAGATCTCATTCAGAAACTTCATTTTCTGTAAAAAGAAAGCAATTTTGAAACACCTCTCAGTGCTGGTACAAGCTAAGTTTCTCTCTTGCATTCTCTTTGTAATGGTAGAAAGAATGGGATGAAGGGAAGAGGGCGATCTTGCTCCTAACCTCCCAAGTACTCCTCCCTAGGAATGATTCTCTTTCCAGCCCCCATTCATAGCTTTTAACCATAGTGGCAGCACACAGATCAATTCTGCAGTTAAAATGACAGTTGTACACCTTTAATAACTGGAAATTCACCATGCAGAAAATATTTGTTCTGGTCCACTTCCTTTACCAGGAAGGATTTCTTTTCTTAGTTAGGGAACTTGAAAAGAAGCTTTTGTACAGCTGGCAGCAAGTAATGCAAAGCACTGCAGAAAACACTACACATTCTATCAAAACTTTAGGGCAAACACTGAAGACTTTCATGCTCCTAAAAAACAGTATATGCAAAAATGTTTTGTGATCCAAATAAAATCATCTTGGTGCATTCCAGGACCACTTATCCAATGAAAAAAAATATGCTTTATAAATGCAACCTAATTTCAAAACCACTGCATTACAAGATTAGGGTTTATAAAAAAAAGAAATGGGCAAATCAGCTTTCAGTTTTCCCCCTCTCTTTCTACAACAGTAGTCACACCAAACCAAATATATTGAAAACTTGAAAGACTGGTTGGGACAGCTGAATTCCTGCCTTCTTCAGGTTTATTTTAGAGAGGAAGCTGCCCGTGGACTAAAACATCCCTCTGAAATATCCCTTTGCACTACCAGCTCAGTATTTGTGTGACTATAGGTCAAAACCTTGATGGGACTCAGTAATCCTTACAGGCTCTTTCCAACTTGGGATATTCTAACTCCTCCACTTCCCCATTGGGATGTACTCCGTGTAACTTCTGATTTGGGTGCGAATGGCCCCAAATTCACCATTTGTAGTGTACAGACCAAAAGGCACTGAGGCTTACTCCTTCACCTGAACTACACAAACTCTCTGGGTACGACCACTGAAGATGTCCTCCATTAGAACGACCAACCTGCAGAGTTTCAACATTCAGAACTGCAAAACAAATCAAACCACAGAGGTAAAAACAAGCTACACTGTAGCTTTTTACTGCACTCCAAAGACAAATTCACCCAGGATGTGCCTCAGCACAGAACTCAAGTCTGTCAGCTAGCAGAAAGCAAAAGAGAATTACCAAGCTTCAAGCAAAACAGAAAGAGAGCTCTTGAGTTGCGAGTTTCCCACAATGACATCCAAGCACTGTAAATGAAACTTAACAGGCCGTGCTTCCCCAAGGAGCTGAACTAGTCAGGAGGGCTCTCATCCCTCTCCCTCTACATTGCCCCCTACTCCTCGTCTCCTCCTGTGACTGACCTCCCTGGTCTTCCTCGGGTCACTGTGCCCACACACTCAAAACACCTCAAAAGGCCTGGAGATAAAGGCAGGAGATGGGAGATGGGAGCTTCTCCTTCCAGCACCTCAACTGGGGGGAAGCACAACCCAACCAAGCACCAACACAAACCACACCGCACAACTGCCCTCCGGATCCAGCGGCTGTTCAGGCAGCTGGGGAAAGCGGCCACGCTTGGAACTGATTGTTTCACCGCCAAAGGTGGTTTTACTTCTGAGGAGCATCAGAAAGATCCAAAACGCACAGCTTCCAGAAAGCTGGAAAGGCCTGGAAAAAGAAAACAAGCACAGAACGAGGCTTACGGGGGAGGAGAGAAACAAGCTAAGGAGGATCGCCCCTTCCCGAACCACCCGGCTCAGAGCAGCGCCGACGGCCGCCCCGCGCCGCGCTGCAGCCGCACACAAAGGCTGCCCCCCGCCGCTACTCACCCTCCCGGGCCGCCAGGCGCCGCGCCCCCCCTGCGCGAAATGGCAGCGACGCCGCAGAAAATGGTCGCGGTTCGGGAGCGGCTGGGCCGGCGCTACCCGAGCCGCCCTGGCAGGAGAGGGGGCGGCAGCCGCCGGCGGACCGGGGGAGGCGGGGAGCGGGCGGCCGCGACCGCCCAACAGCGCGGCCCCCGCCCGCGGGCTGCTCGGGGCGGGCCTCGCCCCGTCCCGGTCGCTCTCACCTCAGCGCGGCGGCGGACGGCACCGAGGGCCGCCATTCCTGGCCGCGCCGCCGCACGCCCCTCCTCCTCGCTCCGCCGCTCGGGGCGGGCGGGCCGCGGGCACGGCGGGTGCTCGGCGGGCAGCGCTGGAGGAGAGCGGAGGGATGAGAGCCGCCCGCTCGCCTCACAGCCTGCCGGCGTAGCTGTGGTACTTTAATCCGTTCCTCGGATACGCAAAGTGTGCTCGAGATAGCCCAGCACTTGGGCGGTTATGTCTCGGGATGCCATTCAGAGAGACCTGGCACAGGCTCCAGCGGCGGGCTCAGGACAACCTCTTGAGGTTGAACAAAGCCAAGCCTTGCACCCGGGTTACTGCAGTCCCTGCTATCAGCGTGAGTTGGGGGTGTAAGGATGGAGTGCAGCCCTGCTGAAAAGGACCTGAGGGTACCGGCAGTGACAAGCTGGACATGAGCCAGCAGAGCCAGCAGTGTGCCCTCACAGCCCAGAAAGCCAACCCTATCCTGGGCTGCATCCAAAGCAGCATAGACAGCATGGTGAGGGAGTGATCCCAGCCTCTGCTCTGCAGTGTGAGACCACCTGCAGTACTGCATCCAGATGTGGAGTCCTCAGTGCAGGACAGACGTGGAGCTGTTGGAGCACATCCAAAGGAGGGCCACCAAAATGATCCAAGGGATGGAACACCTCTCCTACAAGGACAGGCTGAGAGAGCTGGGGCTGTTGAGCACAGAGAAGAGAAGGCTGTGAGGTGACCTGAGAGCAGCCTTTCAGTATCTAAAGGGGGCTGTAAGAAGGAAGGGGACAGACTCTTTAATGAGATCTTCTGTGACAGATCAGGGGACATAGTTTCAAACTAGAACAGAAGAGGTTTAGCCTGGTAATGAGGAAGAAGTTTTTTACAGTAAGGGTGGCGAGGCAGTGGCACAGGTTGCCCAAAGGGGTGATGGATGCCCCATCCCTGGAGGCACCCAATGTCAGGCTGGAGGGGCTCTGAGCACCTGATGGAGCTGTAGGTGTCCCTGTTCATTGCAGGCAGGTTGGACCACATGGCCTTTAAGGGTCTCTTCCAACTCAAAAGATTCTATGATTCTGTGTTTCCCAAGGTCTATGCTTTCCCAACAGCCATCTTTATATTAAGAATTTTACTGAACTAATTGTACTGAACTTCTCTTGAGTATTTTGGTTAAGGATATTGACAACAAGATGGCATTCTTGGCATTTTAGATTCCCCTCTCATTGTAAATTACATATTTCTCATACAACTTCTTTTCCTCATGTTCACTTCTTGAGTATAGATCATTGTGCATTAATTCTTTTGATTGAAATGAGCACATTTTCCTGTCCTAATCTTTTTTTCTTATAAACAAAGAAGGAGCTGCTTGGGCTTATGTGTGTAGACCAGCGTATCTCCTCTTTTATCTGGACCATCCAATAATTTTCTTGACCCACCTTGCTTCAACTTCCATCAGATCTGAAAGCTTACATCTCAAGACAAACACAGCAAACACAGTTTCTATTCCTATGCAGTCAGACAGGATTTCTGCATTTAATTTAATCATACCGTTATAATCACCAACACAACCAAATATATTTTTTTACTATTTCCACTTGAGTGATTATTACACAAACAAAACATGTGATAGGGCTGTGCACAACCAACTGTTTTGCACAAATGTAGCCCATCTTTAATCAGTACAGAATCATAGAATAGAATCATAGAATGACCTGAGTTGGGAGGGACCCACAACCATCATCATGTTCAACTCTTTGTAAACACTTTGCTGCTAATACAGGTTTTTCAATGGCACACTGCTAATGAGGTTGCATTCCCACATCTCAGAGTGCAGAGTGTTTTCCTGGAAAGCACCATCATAGGCCATTTGTTGAAGTTTCAGAGAAAAGTTCTGGCAGGTGAAAAAGAGCATTAGTAGATCTGTGGCAATATTTCCCTAACTGAAAACAGAACCAAGGAAATCTAAGCCTAAAGGGAAGTTTGAAGGGAAGTATTAGGATGAATGTCACTTCCCCTTGGGAGGGCTCAAAATCATAGAGTCATGGGATGCTTTGAGTTGGGCCCATTACAGAAGTCCAACCCATCTTTCACTAGATCAGGTTGTTCAGAGTCCAGTATGACTCTGAACACTTACAGTGACAGGGCATCCAGAGCTTCTCTAAGAACTTGTTCCAGTGCCTCACCACCCATGTTGTGAAGAATTTCTTCCTTATATCTGGTCTAGTTTGGGAGGAGTTAGAAAAACAGTGGCAACTACCAGCTTTACCAGACAAGCACCCTTATTTGTTACAAGAGAAGGGAGGCAGCAGTGCCTATTGCCATCTTTCAACTACAGATAGGACCTAAACCATGGTTCCTGTATTAAGCACAGCAAAAGGAAACTGTACATTGTGATTCAGCCAACGACCCGATGGAGCTCTGCTGCTTCTCACCTCTCTTGTACCGATTCTGCTACGCTTCACGGATGCCCTTCCAAGCTGAACTGCCCCACTTCACCTGCAGAATGCCATTCCCTTTTCTGTGCCTTGGTTAGTTTTCTGCTGATTCAACAAGCTAAACCATTTCAGTGCAAGATTAGACAACCACCAGACCTAACGTAAGAAGAGGGAGGAAAAGAGGGATGAGGTTTTCTCCTAACCATGGAAGCAAGCCATTAAACTGACACAAGCTGTATGGAACAGGTACTTCCATCCTGAGAGGTGGATTCGTGGGGAGTTAAGCCAACTGTGCTGCTGGCAAAGGAACAAGCTCCATCCTTTTCCCTTCCCTTAGTCATGCTTTCCTGATGCCTGCTCTCTGCTGGCTGTGACATCCACGTAGCCACATGTTAGCTTAGACCTTCTTGCCAACAGAGCCGAAAGCTAATCCAGTTTAAAAAAAAAAGTTTTCAGCGGGATCAATTTCCTCACCCAGCTGATCCCACAGCCTAACAGACACTGATGCCAGCATAAGGGAGCCAGAGAGGGCCCTGTCTCAGTGGCAGCCTGCACACGTGTCAACATAAAGCCGGAGTGCCCCCCTCAGCCATAATTTCCCAAATGCTTCTAGCCAGCTCTTGCCAAAGTCGCTGCCAAAAGTAACACAATCTTGCCCTTTGGCCACATCAGCTCCTCATCGTGGGCCCCAGCCACCCTCTGTGTTGTGCTGGAGAAGATATCTATCACAAAACTGATGGATAAAAGTAGCTGGAGGTCAAAGTAGCTCCTTTTATTTCCAGGTTTGCCTTCCCTGTCAGTAAGGCTTCTTGAAAGCCATGCTACTGAAGACGTGTCAGGCTGCAATTGTCTCCCACGGTGAAACACAGAGAATGAAGGGTTGAGGACGTTTGCCAGACTTACCCTTGACTCCAGGTCTAGTTTTCTTTTCCCTGGAGGAGGTTCAGGCTTCGCGTCCCGTTGCAGAGGTGTCAGAGCACACCCAGAGCACGTTCCAGCTTCGGGCTTGTTGAAGCACGCTGCTTTATTCGTATGAACATACCTCAGTTGGAGAGAGGCAACCTGAGATGTGCCATGAAGCTGCTGTCGGGACCTAATTGGAAATCAACCTGCCAGCGGTGCCAGTACAGCTCAGTAAGAAGACACTGTAAGACAGCATAAATAAACTATTCAAAGCAGCTCTGTGTATCAAACACCTTAACCATGTATGAACGTTGCACAGCTACGCTGCATCTGACTACACTTGTTTTTTGACAGATACATCTGGACTACATTAAACACTCCAAAAGAAGGATCAGAGAAAGCCATTTCTTATCATAGTTCCATTAAAACTACTTTTAATATGCATTGTAAAAATACCAGGCATTAAGAATCCATGAAGGATCAGCAGCAGCTGAAATGTTCGACTGTACTTTAGAGGTCTGAATTTCAGAGACCGCCTCGGTATTCTGCAAGGTCTCCAATTCCCGATTCGGCAGCACTGAAAAGTCCCATCGTTCTACAGGCAGAGCTTTGACCCTAACTAATACTCAGCACTTTGTCAGATTTCCCCATGAGGAGGAAAACTTGGTGATGAATTCAGTTATCTCCTCAGTGTAATCCTATTTATTTACAAAGAATGTACAGCCACGTCCCATTTCCTTGCACGCAGAGGAAGCAAATGGGAGGGAGCGTGCTGCAGCAGTCCAAGTTTGCTGCTCTAGCCAGGATGCTTGCCCAGAAGAAGCTGTCCCTTGGCTTTTTCTCAGGGCCATGCACCACTGCTTCTCCCACTGTCTGCTGGCTCTCGCCTGGTGTTTCCGCTCCCTGACATGCACGCAGGCAAACACAGCTGCAACCAATCTGGGCTCTTGCTGCCGCGTTCGCAAACCGTCCCCAGAGAAATCTGACTTTCCCCAAATTAGTGCTTGCTCATAGGAATTAGCTCATCTTAGTGCCTGGCTGTGCAGCCCTGTGCTGTGGGCAACGGTTTCTAGTTTTTCGCTCTCTTGTGCCGTTAAAGAACTTAATTGCTCCTTCCTGAATGAAGCCTGGCCAGCATGCCTGTCAGTTTTAATGAGGTTTGTGACTGCCTATAGATCAAAGCTCTGCTCCGGTGCGTTTTGCTTATATTGCATAAAAATGAAAGGAGAAGTGACCTCCAAAGTAAATAGAACAACGAGGAACGAAGTTAATTTTCATACACCATTTCTGCTGTGCCTTGGCAAGTGTCAGATTAACTGTGTAAAGCAGGAGACTTCCTACAGAACGTAAATCCTCCCAAGAACACATTATGATGAAGATCTGACGCGCACAAGCACAACCTGTTTTTCATCTGAGACCTTGTCTGTATCATCTTCCAAACCACAGGCCTGACCCTGCGAGTGCTTGCAGTAAACAGACCTTGATTTTCCAGTCCTGCGCTATCATTTACTTCTGTGCAAGCTGTGTGAGGAAGTTACTACACCCATTCCAGCGCATGTAATAACCTTTTTTTCCACTGGTTTTTACAGGTGGAAATGCCTCCTCCAAGCTTGTGGCAGCACAGCAGTGAGTACCAGTGTTTTTTTCCTAGCAGGGCTCTAGAGGCAATGAGGATTAAGAGGAATCATTTGGCTGAGACTTATTAGTCCTGTTGTATTACATGCTGTAACAACCGGTGATGCGTTACACAGTTCCCTTCTCTCCTGCAGATTCGATGACATCAGGGAACCTTGCTGAAACGTATTCATCTGCAGCCTGTGGACCTAGCTTGCAGGGCTCACGAGAGATAGTTGTGTTTTGTGAATGAGGCTCAGAGCAGAAGAACACGAGTCAGTGACTGCCCTCTTCTTTCAGCATGACCTCCAGATACTCCCACATTTGTGGAATGGATGGGACCCGTTCTAATTTTCTGTTCTTTCTCCTATTCTTCTAAGATGGTTCCCAGACAAATTGTCTCTCCTGCTACCGTTCAAGGAAAAGAAGATAAAACCCTATGAGCAACAAACTTGTTTAGGCGTGCGGAGCATAATTTTGCTTCCAGTGTGGGAGGACCCAAAATACTTGGCCTCCCCAGTGAAAGAAACACACACTCAGGAAAGGCAGATGCTGAATTAACCCTTCATTACCATCGCCAGTTGGAGCCCAGATCTCTATTTCCTTGGGGCAGCCGTTTGCACAGCATAAACATTTTGTGCAGCCCCGCTGTTCTAAACAGGCTGAAGGAGAAAAATATTCAGATCTGGTACCATCCTGCTGGAATTTCTCATCTCCTCCCCCACAAAAGGCATATGAAAAAGCTCCACGCATTACCAGCTGCTTTCCTTGCTCTGGCCTGACCCACGCTGTATGCTGTTGGTTTTCTCAGCTGTGTGGCTTTACCCACATACCCCACTGTGACACCGAGCTGTCACCAGCACTGGGGGACACTGGTGGAACCAGGTTTCCAGCTAAGGAAGCAATGGAGAGGAAAGCACCCCCAAAAGCCCTGCTGCCCTGTGACCCAGCAGGCATGGTGATGCTGCTTTGGTGCGGCAAGACCTGCTTATTTCCCCAGTGGTCATATGGGGAAAAAAACAGTAGAAAAAATAGGATGGAAGTCATTTGTAGGTTGGGTCTCTTCCTAAGCTTGTTTTGTTTTGCTTTCTAAAAATTATTTTATTTTTAATATATTAACATTTGCCATTCAGCATTTACTGTAACAAACCCACTGTGCACAATAAAAATCCCACAGTGCCTTAAATAGGACTAATTATGGCAACACCGAGCTACCAACGAGAACGGCGATGCCCTACATATGAAATGAATAAACATCAGTTTCCACCTCATATTGACTTCTCAGAAGTTCAGGAATAATCCCATTTGGCATATTTTAAGGAAGCGAGCTCTTGACCCCAGATTTTTATGGGCTGTAACAGTAAACCCAATAAAAGAAAGGAAGCATATTTGAAAGCTGCTCTTAAAATCAGATTGGTTTTAGGCGTTGCTTTGTGTAAGGCCGCTTTGCACCTCGTGCTTCACGTGGAGGGCTGAGTGTGACTGACACAGCCCGTCCCGACCAAAAAGGCACTTCTTGCTGCGAGCATTTCCTTCCACATCGCCTTTCCAACACCCACTTTCCACCCGCTGCGCCCGCTCACGCTGTGCACACGCATTGCATTAGTTGCATCATTTTCTTATCAAGCCTCCAGGGAGCGTTCTAGGTGAAATGCCAGGCAGAGAGAGAGCGGCTGAAAATCAAGAGCGATGCCAAGCGTGGCCCAAATTGATTTGGAGATGAATATGCCTCTAAAGAGAGGTATTGCAGTCATCCGTTGTCCGCAGGTTGTTGTAGATCGGCAGCTCACTACGCGTGTTGTAAGCTTCCCTACAAATCAAGAACACGGCTGCTGGGACACCCCTACAGGGCGGCAACGAGCCGCGCCGGATACTGGATACGGCGGGAGGACGCCCGCCATGTCGCGGCGCACAGCCCGCCCGCCGGCACCTCCCGCCCGCCAGGGGGCGCTGCTCTCACCGCCCCGCCCGCCCGCCCGCCGCCGCTGCCCTGTTAGCCCGCGGCTGCGCGCTTGGGCTTGGCTCGGCTCGGCTCGGCTGGCGGGGCCCGGCCAGCTATGGCCGCCTCCGTCTTTTGCTGCCTCCGCTGGTGCCGGGATGGCGGTGCCGGTCACATCCCGCTGAAGGAGATGCCGGCCGTGCAGCTGGACACGCAGCGTATGGGTGAGCGGAGCGGCCTCCGTGGCTGTGAGGGGCGGCGGGGCTGGGGAGAGCGGGAGGCGAGGTGGGGCACCGCGGGGCTGCTGTAGGGCCCGTGCTGTGCTCTGGGCACCAGGAGGCGAAGGCTCCTGCCGTGGAAGAGAACCTCGTGTTGTTTTATTTTCAGAGGGAGTGTGGGCTCGGTGCTTCCTCACAGGGAACCTCTCGGTTAAATTGTGCGTTCTGCCTCTGCTGTGGGCCGGCGTGCTGCCCCAAACTCCCTGGCTGAAATGAGAGCGGCATACGGGTTTTAAATAAATAAAGCCCAACTGAAAGATGAGCCAGCCCATAAACTTCCCTCTGTTTCATTGTTAGAAGTGTGGCCCGTCGTTGTAGTTCTCGCAGACTAATGAAGCTTTGCCTGGGGCTGAAAGAACAAACATCTCCGTGTTGAGGGCTTTTAAGGGCTCTTCCAGACTCCTGAAAGAGTTTTGAAGTTTTGCTTTTCTTTCTTCTTGCAGGAACAGATGTCGTCATTGTTAAAAATGGCAGAAGGATATGTGGCACTGGAGGCTGCCTCGCCAACGCGCCCCTACATCAAAACAAGAGCTATTTTGAGTTTAAAATCCAGTCCACAGGTTAGTCAGCAAAAACTTCTAACTTGGAAGGCGTAGCAGGTTACTGAGTGGTCGTGTCTCAGATGCCGAGCGTGCGCATCTTTCCAGTTGTATCCTTGAACTTTGTGAATATCAGAGACTCTTACAAATGGGCATTTAGAAAAGGAGGTTTGTTTGGTTTTTAATTGAGATTCTGCAATATTGAAAAGAACGGTAAGTACACTTATTAACTAGAAGAGTACCAGCACTAAGATGGCGTGTGTGTATTGTCACATGCATGCTTTTTGGTTGACATATTATAGAAACAAACTAGGGAAGTAATCCTGCCTCTGTACTTAGCATTGGTGCGGCCTCACCTCGAGTACTGTGTTCAGTTTTGGGCACCTCAGTACAGAAAGGACACTGGGGTGGTGGAGCAGGTCCAAAGAAGGGCAGCAAGGCTTGTGAAGGGCTTGGAGAATATGTCCTATGAGGAGAGACTGAAGGAACTGGGGCATTTTAATCTGGGGAAAAGGAGGCTGAGGGGAAAACCTTATTGCTCTCTTCCAATATATGAAAGGTGCTTACAGTGAGAGCGGGGCTGGTCTCTTCTCACTGCTGACAGGTGACAGGACGAGGGGAAGTGGCCTCAAGCTGTGCTAGGGTAATTTTAGGTTGGATATCAGGAAACACTTCTTTACAGAAAGGGTTGTTAAGCACTGGAATAGGCTCCCCGGGGAGGTGGTTGTGTCTCCATCCCTGGGTGTGTTTAAAATCTGTTTGGATGTGGTGCTCAGGGACATGATTTAGCAGAGGGTTGTTAGAGTTAGGGTAGTATGGTCAGGTTGTGTTTGGACTTCATGATCTTTAAGGTCTTTTCCAACCTGAGCAATTCTATGATTATGATTGTATGTATGACCACATAAACCATTCGCTATGAAGTCTTGGTTTTTAACAGTGAGATTTATCCAGCAGTATCTGTACCTATTTGTCAACCTTGATTTGTGATTAATATGTACTGTGTTTGTCTGAGCAATGGTAACATTCCTTGTGCTCTACTGTGCTCTTCAAACAATGTGCAGCTTTTGTTCCAGCACTGCTTTTATTGAAAGGAACCTTTTAGCATGTTTACTTCTTCTGCACAAATTTGCAATATAAGATAGCAGAAATGAGTGGAATTTGGAAACATTATGCTTCTGCTAATGCAGTCAGCTCTGCTAGCGCAGAGGGCACTCCAGACTTGCCTGTATTCCAGTATTGGAAAGGATCATTATTTTTAAGAACATTACACAGTATCAGAATGAAACTGTCCTTTCTCAGAGTGTAGGAAAACAAAAGAAGAAGGGAACTGTTACTCTGGAGACAGGCCTTAATATACTAACCAGAGCTTGAACCTGACTCTGTCTGGGTAAGGATTATTTGCATCCAGCTTGAAGGGCAGGCAGTGTGAGCAAAGATCAATCTAAAGCACCTCATGTTCAAAAGAGTTGTTTAGTTTTAAACTACATATAAACCCCAGTTCAAGCAATTTTACTGTCCTTCCTGTCAGAGGGGGAGAATCAACTGCAGCTGCTGTTCACATATGGCTGTTCCTCACACAAGTGCAGTATCCATGTGCCTATACTTTAGAAAAGCTGGAAATAAACTTTTCTTGTCCCTCTGAATCCTGTCTCATCTATTCCTGTGACCAAAGGCAGGAGAATTGTAGACTACTCAGCCTAAAACTTAGATTTGCAGTCTACCAGGGGTCAGCTAGCCTGGCTATTGGAAAGATTTTCAAAATCTAATCTGGCTCTTGTTCAGATTTATGTCCTTTTCACTCTGGACTTGTAAGTATTAGAATAAATTGTTCAGCACTTTTTTACTTTTGAAACTGACTTATTTTTGCTTCATTTTAGTCTTGTGTAGATTAAGCAGACCTAGTCTTTTCATCAACTACTTAGTAGTTCGTGTTTTTCCTTTTTTTTTAATTGGTTTTCATGTTTCTTGTAGAATTTCTCTGACTGACTTAATTCATCATAGTGTACGATGCTTAGAATGGCTGCTGTGCTCCAGCTGCAGTGGGCATCCTTCACATCCTTTGCATATATTTCCTTTATACATGTCTTACAACCAGAATTTGTTCATAGCTTTAAACTGTGACAGGGGAGGTTTAGGTTAGATACTAGGAGGAAGTTTTTCACACAGAGGGTGGTGATGCACTGGAACAGGTTGCCCAAGGAGGCTGTGGATGCCCCATCCCTGGAGGCATTCAAGGCCAGGCTGGATGTGGCTCTGGGCAGCCTGGTCTGCTGGTTGGCGACCCTGCACATAGCAGGGGGTTGAAACTGGATGAGCACTGTGGTCCTTTTCAACCCAGGCCGTTCTGTGATTCTATGACTCACAGTCAACAGGTGCTCTGTGATAACCCTCAAATTATGTTAGCTGGTTGCCAAGCCACTGTTGTATCTGTGCTACTGATTATTCCTATCTAACTGCTCATCTCTGTAATTCAGAACAAGGAAACCCATCTGCCATGCCTCAGACCTCTTAACCAATGTGTCAGGTTCATTTCAAAATGGAGTGGCTTGCACTCCTGGCAGGCTGATTTGGGCCGTGCGTTTCATAAGCACATTGTGGTGGTATTTAAGTCAAGTTGTTTCAAATTCAAGTTGTTCACAAATCCATCCTAGCGGATTTGTTTTTCACATCCTTCTAGATTTTCAGTGTGTTTTGGGAGTAGAAGTTGAGCTTAGTGGTTGGAAGTGTCTGGATCCTTATTCTTCAAGATAGATACTATTTTTCTTCAATGTTTTGTGACTGCTGATACTTTCAGTGTAAGGCTACTGGTAGTACTTCTTTGGCACTTGTTAAGAAATCCTCTTTATGCTGTCCTACTTCAGTCAGACACTCTAAATCATGCAAATTTATTTTCTTACCATGTTAATGTCACATCCTAGGCATTTGGGGTATCGGAGTTGCAACCCAGAAAGCAAACTTGAATCAAATTCCACTTGGCCGAGATGTCCATAGCCTGGTGATGAGGAATGATGGAGCTCTGTACTACAACAACGAGGAGAAAAACAGATTACCAGCCAACAGCCTGCCACAGGAGGGCGATGTGGTGGTGAGTTTCTTTGTGCTTTGTTGTCTTCTCTTGCTGTTCCCACATTTCTCTTATTTACAGCTGTGTGGTCAAACTGACTGTTTTGGTCGAGTTGTTGTTTGGCTCTTGTCTCACAGTTTGGAGAGCCTAGATATAAACTCCTGTTGTGTTTGACTGGATCAGCAGCCTGGACGTAAGTGGGCTTTGTTCTGAGCATTAGAGAATCATTATTGGGTTGGAAGGGACCTAAAAGGTCATCTAGTGCAGCTGCCCCCCAGTGGATGGGGACACCTACAGCTCAATCAGACTGTGTTTCTGAGTGGAGAACCAACTTTACCAGCATTTGAACAGCAGCCACTAATGCTCTGCTGTGGTCTGGTGTCTAGCTGGCTGATGAGTCCCATCACAGGGGTTCTGCATTGGTCAGTGAGATTTCTCTGAACAGTGTGCTAGAATGCATTGCATAGTCATGTTCCATGCCCTGCTCAACTCAGGGTCCCATAACTGACTGGTTAATGATTAGAATGATTGAGCTGAGCAGTGATTGATCCTGGGTGACAGAGGGATTGATTTTTTTTCTAGCCAAATTCACAAAGAAGGAGAGAGAGATTACATGGGGATTGAATGGAAAAAGGGTCACATTCACTGGGAAGATGACTGAAAAGCAAGAGCAAATTGAGAATCCAAAAGTTTTTCTACTTTGCTTTGCCAGCTTTCCCAAAATGTCTGTGTGACTTTGTGTTCTGTTTTATTGCTGACATGTTCTCAGTGTCCCTTAGAGATGTACTTCTGAAAATACTTGGGAGCGTATCACTGCTAGTTCTTCTTGCTTCTGAAAAGCACTGATTAGAAATATCATCTATGGAAGCCCTGAACAGCTAAAGGTGCCTCCTCCCCCCTTTACCTGCAGACTCTGTGTTATTCTTTTAATCCCCTTCTGACATCATTTTCTTGGAGGGCTGCAGACTGTGTCAGGGTTTGGTTAACCTCCGCAGTCAGGAACAGCTTCAAACAGTTGATCTCAGAACTGAAGGTGATGCATCATTTGGTAACTCCCCACTTGTCATAAATTTCAATTTATTGTGTTCTGTCGTGGGAATCGATTCTGAAGCAGTGCCTGACAACACAAATTGTCACACTCAGACGTACCAAAACAACTGCTTAGCTGACAAAGAAGTAATTTATTACCTCACTAGCGCTTGCTTTCTGCTCTGTGGTGAGCATATTTATAGCGTTGTGTATGAAACCATGGCCTGTTACTGCTGGCAGAGAAAATGAGCTGAGAGTGGCTTCCATGCACGGGTATGGACAAATATACAAATAGCATCCTTATTTATTACAATTATTCCCATGGAAAGATACAAACAAGAAGACTGCAGGCTGCTTGTTATTTTCAATTGTTAGAAATGTTGTGATTCTTTACCTTGTTGTGGAATAGTCAGGAAATCTGTGCTGTGAGCCAGCCTCATTAAGATACAGCGTGTGATACTGTTCTCAATGTGCACTAAGGGATCCTGCTGTTCCTCATCACTTACTGACTTCAAGTCCTTTGCAGGAGTATTTCAGGTGAAGTTTTCTAGGATGCTGTGGTTTGCGTAACAGTGTTAAAATCTGCCTGTGGCTGAAAAGTTGAGTAGTGTTCTTTTATGTATAAACTTGTTGATGGTATTTGGTTTTGTCAATCTTTTGTGTTTTGCAGGGCATCACATACGACCACGTAGAATTAAATGTATATTTAAATGGGAAGAACATGCACTGTCCAGCTTCAGGTATCCGAGGGACTGTCTATCCAGTTGTCTATGGTAAGCCAGAGATTTTCAAACTGTTTTATATTTTGGACGTTGTTTTTGCACCAGGTCTAATTTGTGAATTCTTCTCCTCTCTTAGATGGAACACATATCTTTCTAGTCACACGTCTGTCATTTATTTTGACAATGAAAGCAATTACCTACTTGGAAATACAAAACTAGGGAGATAAAGAAGTATATTTTCACTTCATTTGCAATGCTGTTAATAGCCAGAAAACAAAGAACATTGCTTCCTAGCTGTATGGGAACTGCTGAGTCACGGCCTGAACCTCTGATTAATCACCTGAGGTGAGCCTTGAGTCAGCCAGAGGAGCACAGCTGAAGGCAATTCACCTGTGCTGCCGGAAGGGGTGGAGCCAGGCTCCACCCCTCCTGGACCTATTTAAGAGCTGGCTACCAGAGGGGAAGGATCTCTTCTGGAGATCCCCTCTTTGGTATCTTCTGGTGAGCTCAACCCAAGGGTAAGCTCTTCCACTTATTCTCTTTTGTGATCGTTGTCTGTTTTGCCTTACTCTCTTGATTATATTGTAATTATAACATCTTGGTTATACGCTAGCAAAGTATCCACCTTCAACAGGCAGGGATGTTACTGCAGCTGGTCTGTAAGCAGCCAGTTAAAAGGAACTATAAAGAGATGAAAGAAAGAAACAGAACAAATTCAGCATAGCCTAGCTACGTGAGCTAATCTAGTTTATCTCTGAAGCTTGATGTTTATGCCTGTTAATTCTACATACTTGATAAGTGCTTTCAGTGTGAAATACAAATAGATACTGAATTGCCATCTGTATTCTCATACAGAAGTAATAACTGTCATGCAGTACCAGTACAGCTGCTTGCTGTCTAGTGGGACAGCTTCTTTTCTACGTTACCAAAATGAAACCCAGTTCTCAAATCCAGCAGCTGTTGCAGGAGTTGTGGTAGCTGCTTTGCCAGCAGCCGTCAATGCAGCAGAGCAGTTTTGAGCGAGGAATAAATACCATGTCCAATTAATCCCTGCACAGGCAGTTTAAGAAAGAATTTTTGAATTATGGAAGCTGGAATTTGGCCAAGACATGTGTTAACAATTTACTCTTCTAGAACTTGGCGGTGTTTTTGTAGTTCCCAAGTAGTCAGAATTCTGTTTAACATCTCGTCTGAAAGGCAGCACTTCCCCTTGCTCAGTGTATAATCTATGCTGTACTCTGGGTTGCCTTATAGTTTACAGCAAATGATAACTGCTCATCGGATTCCCTTTACTACATCTGCAGGCATCTCCAGTTTATTTTTGTTCCTGTGTGAGAACTTAGTCTGAGTAATATCCCCCATCTGAGCTCACTTACCTCTTGAGATACCATTAGCTATATGATGTGGATAATTAGGTCATTTCATGGTCGATTCCCACTAATATCTTGACACATTCTTGATGCTACGTTTTATGAGCAGGAAGCAGATACTGTTAGATATGCCACAGAGCCTTCGAAGTCTGTAAATCCAGGCTTACACCTTTCCAAGCTATTAAGAATGGAAATTGTTTTCACGTTGTTATTTTCTCATGTGTGCTTAAGCCACATGATGGCGCTGCTAAAATGCTGTGGCAGACAATAGCTGCCCTGCAGCACTGCTCCTGACAGGCTGGGCCAGCAGCAGGAGAATAGTTGCTGTGTAATAGCTGATTCTTCCTTCTTCCTTTTAGTCTAGAAGCGGTGTTAGAGAATGCTGGCTGCTTTCAGTAAACATTTGGTGACATGTCATCCTATTGTAAATCTTTTTTTCTCACTTTTTTATGCAGTGTTTTTTTTACAGTTTTATGCAGTGGCCTTTTGTTTTGCCAGACTCTTGTTATCATCTTCTACAAGTGGGCGTGATTTTATAATAATCATCTTGTTTCCTATGTATTGCTATAACAACTGAAACCTGCAAATTGATTTTGCATGGCTCTTACTTGCTATAAATTCTAAATGCAAACATCGTTTTAATGTGAACTGTAGGTCAGGGGAAGGATTTGAGCACAGAAGAGAGTTTCTTAAGCATTTGCCCCATCCATAATTCAGAGTGCAACTATAATGATAGGACAAGAGAGAATGGTTTTAAACTAAGGCAGCAGAAGTTTAGGTTAGATATCAGGAGGAAGTTTTTCACTCAGAGGGTGGTGATGCACTGGAACAGGTTGCCCAAGGAGGCTGTGGATGCCCCATCCCTGGAGGCATTCAGGGCCAGGCTGGATGTGGCTCTGGGCAGCCTGGTCTGCTGGTTGGTGACCCTGCACACAGCAGGGGATTGAAACTGGATGAGCATTGTGGTCCTTTTCAACCCAGGCCATTCTGTGATTCTATGTCTTTCTAAAAGAAACACAGTGGAGCAGGTGAACACAGCATCATGTCTGACAGTGTAAAACAGAAAAGTGAACTCAAAGGTTGCTCCCTGCAACCTTCAGGCATTTATGCATAAGTGAGATGTAAGCTCTGTATAAATGCTGCAGAACTGAACCTTAGAGGGAAAAATTCCTGTTGTAGCTCTGAGATATCTAAATTTCAAACCCAACTTTGGATGCAGATGAAGCTCTTCTATTTTGATCTAATATTATTTACCAGGTTTGTCTTAGAAGAATTGTATTTGAAAGAGAGCTTGCTTTTTTGTCCAGTTGGGCATTCCTATTTGCTAAAGCAAATAGTGAAAGTTTTGTTGTGAAAATCCTTAGCAATTTTCTTTTGGTTTTACATACAAAAAGCAACACTTGTGTATATGGGAGGTCGAAAACTTGGAGAGGTATTTTAATAAGCATTAACTTCCAACTTAAAGATGCAGCCAAGGAAGCTGTGTGTGTATCACATCCTAGAGCAGCAGTCTGACACCAGCCACTGCAGACATCTGAAATCTTTTAAACCTCCAGAAGAATCACTGTAGACTGCTGAAAGCCTACAAACCTCCAGCAAAATGAATAAGTGAACAGAAAAAATATGCAGCTGGGAGCTGACTATCCTGTGGTGTGTATTTAGTAGTGTTGTTACTCAACAGATTTACAGAGAAATAGAGTAGAAAATTTGAATGGAACTGCCTGAAGCTCTGCTAGCTTCCGGTGAAATCAGAGGTAGCATTCTCCTTGCTTCAGCAAGGATTGCTGTCAAGAAGAGTAAATGGGAGAAAAGAGACAATTTGATCTCATTGTGTGTGTGTAAAGGTGAACTTGTTGAAGAGAATTATTTCACCTGTGTTACGTGTACATAAATATTCCTCCTGTTTTGAGTACAGTAAGGGGGCTAAAAGGAGACGAATCTGTAAGAGTTCCTTCTCTAATTCCTTCTGTTTGATTCTTTTCTGCAGTGGATGACAGTGCCATTCTGGATTGTCAGTTCAGTGAATTTTATCATACTCCTCCACCAGGGTTTGAAAAGATCCTCTTCGAGCAGCAAATCTTCTGAATGTCAACGTGGTGAACATTTGCACCCTGCACTGTTTTAAAAGCAAACCCAAAAGCTTTTTCACCTTAAATAAAGCTTCACATGTTACCTTTAGGAAACATATCTGTATTTTTAGTAAGTACTTGTGACCGTTGTCTGCAGAGTTATTTGATGCTGCAGTTAACACCTTAATTGTGTTGCAAACACTAGATTTCTGGCAGTGTTTCATTGTTGCAGAAACCAGGGTTTTGGACCAGGTTTTTTTTCTGATTGATACTTGATGCATAAGGAGGCTAAGGGTTGTAACTGACACCAGAGTTCAGTATTCTGGACGAACTGGAGCTCTGATAAAAGCCTGTAGTTCTTATGCACATGATAGCACTGGAGATTGATAGTTCTCATGATTTTTTTTTTCCCAACTTCTTCCATACAGAAGTTATGTACCTTGTTAGAAGGAAATACTGTGTTTCTAGTCTGTACTCTGGAATTGTGGTGTCCTGGTTGTGCACAATGACTGATACACGATGGCATAACCAGCGGTGAGGTATTTTTTCCTTTGCAAGGTGTAATTTAATCCATTCCCTCACTCTTAGAATGGCAAATATGTATTTCTCCTAGCTTTTCAATTGCTTTTAACTGTGGCAGGTAATAGGATACTTTTGAGTAATGCTTCAAATACTGTTCTGTTGAACCTTAACAAAGTAAACCTGAACACCACCTGTATTTATTTTTTGTTTTGAAGACCGCAGCGCCGTGTTACTCTGATAGCAAAGTAAGAACCGATTGCTCAGCTTGAGTGTGTGAAGGATATGAGATGTTCTGGTGAAGCCTTACTTGTATACATTATTCTTTTATGGGATATCTTATTTAATTTCTTGTGAATGATTTATAAATGACGAGTGGCGAAGACATTGTTTTAAAATGTGATGCCCGTAAATATAAATTGAGATGCTTCCCCTCCATCCCCCCCTCACTGTCATGTATTTAATATACTTCCTAGAAGAACTGTAAAGAAAATCTTCATACTGGATGTTTGTTTCTTGGTTTTGGCTTTTCCTGGGTTGAGGCATTTGCATACGGGAATTATTTATTTAAGTCTTTTTTAGAAATGATCTGATTCTGAAATTTTCAAATACAGCTTTCTCAAAGCCTCTCACCTTACGGTTTTCTGCATCTTGTTTTTTCATTCTGGGAAGTCCATTTTCCTTCTGTTTCGCCTTGCTGGAAGTATGAAACTGCTCCCAGAGAGTGGTCAGGCACTGGAATGGCTGCCCAGGGAGGTGGTGGAGGCGCCGTCCCTGGCCGTGTTCAAGAGGCGCCTGGATGAGGAGCTGTGAGATTTGGTTTAGTGCTTGTGGTAGCAGAGGTGATGGGAGGATGGCTGGACTAAATGATCTTGCAGGTCCATTCCAACCTTGTGCTGTCATTCTCTGATTTGATTCTTTGCTATAGAACCTGATGGGACTGGTGCCCTTTTCAGCATGATGGTATAAACTGGGGAGATTTGGAGTGCAGTCCTTTTTCCCCTTCAAATCTGTTCTGCTTTGTTGTGCGTCATATATTTGAAGATGATACAAAATGCTCATCCTTGAGTTGATTCGACTCTATTTGACACGTACCATAATGTTTCTGTAATCAAGTCTCAGCTTTTCAAACTTGAAATGAGTATATATACTGTTGTGTTGAAATATAAAAGAAGAGGGAAGGTATATGCCCTTTTTCCTTTTGGTATCTTTGAATGATGCCTTCAGCAATGGTTCTTTGCCAACAAAGACTACAGAGAATAAAGTGCTTCTTGTGGAATTAAATTTGTGTTCCTGGGGAAAAGGAAATATTTAAAGGAATTCTTACTACTTCATCTAAGTGAATCCCACAAACAACTTTTTGTCTGCTATATTGAAGAATATTTAGCAGTAAAAGCTGCTATCTTGAGCTTAATGTAGACTTGGCGAGAGAATTTGGCTTCTCGTTGGAGATAGAGAGAAGGCCATCTTCAAAGTTGAAGGTTTGAAATGGAAAACATTTTGATAAGTAGGAGGAAGTTTTTCGCTCAGAGGGTGGTGATGCACTGGAACAGGTTGCCCAAGGAGGCTGTGGATGCCCCATCCCTGCAGGCATTCAAGGCCAGGCTGGATGTGGCTCTGGGCAGCCTGGTCTGCTGGTTGGTGACCCTGCACACAGCAGGGGGTTGAAACTGGATGAGCATTGTGGTCCTTTTCAACCCAGGCCGTTCTGAGATTCTGTGAAGAATAAAAATGTTCAAAATAGTTGCTGAGCTCATAAAAAATTCAGGAGGGTTTGCTTTTACAGCTGAAACTTGCTCATTTTGCATCTTTAACAGTAAGATGTGTTTGTAAAACCACGGTGTAATGACACCTCTAGTCTGAAAATAGGAAACTTCTTGTTCTATAATTGGTTAGACAGGGAAACTGAAGTAAGGAGGATGAACAGAAGATTACCATCCATTTTTTGAAATGGGAGGAGACACTTTTCACCTGAAAGTGAGCTGTATGGAGACGATTCATAAAAGAATCGAGGGTACAGTTAACGCCATTGCGCAGGTAACTTACTGACCCACGGGAACAGCAGGTGAATTAACCCGTGTCTGAGGGTTCCATGTCAACCTCAGGTAGTAAAACCAGCCTGCTGTGTTCCCAGCCCCAGCTTTGCCTAGGGGAACGAGTCAGAGCTTATTTCTAAAAGCTTCACTAGCAAGCATTTTCAGTTAAAGATGTAGCAATACATTTACTAGTAGCTAATTCAGTTTATTAAATATGAATCACGTTTCCCAATGAAACTGGCAAGGTATTTCCACTAATTGTACTCAAATGTTTTCTTAATCTTTGAATGCTACGATTTGGACACCCTATCTCCAAGTGCAAAATGTTGTATTGAGTAATACCGTGTATTTTCAGACTCCTTTTGAGATTTACTGTGGCAGCAAGATAGAAAGTCTGAACCATCCATAAATAATCCATACCATAAAATTCCTGTATGCACATCCATAAATAAATAGAACTGACAGGGTACATAATACGGGTTGCATGTAGATCAGTAGAGCTGTTATTCTTATAATATTGGAAATGCTTATGGTGCTTTGAGGATAGATGTAGTCTGGTAGTGCTATCCCAAGGAGCTTAAAATCCTGATGAGATACTATAAAGCTACAAATACCTTTCAGCAGTTGTCTGAAAAGATGAGGGGTTCAGAAAAGAGAAAGCAGATTGCATTGGGTAATGGTGGGTAATGACTTAGACCTAAAAAAAAGCTCTTTATAATGAGCAATTCATTGGGTTAATATAAGTCCTAAGTCTGCAGTAAATAAGTGTAAATGAGGTGTGGGGGGCGTTTCTACCAAGCTTATGTACTCTTGGACAAAAGAGTTGTGTCAGGATACTGCAACAACCACTGCTCAAGCAGCATTGTGATGTTCACTGGGGTCTCTTAATGCTCATTGAGAGCATTTCTGCTCCCAGGCCACGATGAGCACTTGGAGGCTGTCATGCCTTCAGGTGCACACATTGATCTGAATACACTCTTGCAGGAGGATGCATGCTATGGTTTTCTTCCTTTCTCTGGGCTTTTTTGCACACACATGCAGCCACGTGCAAAAAAAAAACCCAAAAACAAACAAACAAACAAAAAAAAACATATAAAAGACTCCTAGTCATTGATTTGAATATCTTAGCCATCTATGAGTGAGTTCTTAGAGTACTTTTGTAGCACTCGTTCAGCTCTGTTACCAATTGGGGTTGTGTTGATGTTGCTTTGCATACTGAGAACCTATCAAGCTTGTGGCTTGGTTTCATGAAGTGAATCGGTGAAACAGATTCCTGTGTGCCATTGAGTCCAGTATTGAAGGCACAGGGATCTGGAAGGAGCATTCCTTGAGAGCAGCCCTGCAAAGAAGGACCTGGGGATCCTGGTGGATGCAAAACTGAATGTGAGCCAGCAGTGTGCTCTTGCAGCTCGGAAAGCAAATGGTGTCCTGGGCTCCATCAGAAGAGGGGTGGCCAGCAGGGACAGAGAGGTGATTGTCCCACTCTACTCTGCTCTTGTGAGGCCCCATCCGGAGTACAGGTGTGGGCTTCCAATGCAAGAAAGACAGGGAGCAGTTGGAGAGGACGCAGAGGAGAGCCACAAAGATGATCAGGGACTGGAGCACCTTCCGTGCAAAGACAGGCTGAGGGAGCTGGGCTTGTTCAGCCTGGAGAGGAGAAGGCTGTGGGGTGACCTCATTGCAGCCTTTCAGTACATAAAGGGAGGGGAGTCAACTCTTTGAAAGGGTAGATAACAGCAGGACAAGGGGAAATGGTTTTAAGTTGAGGGAGGGAAGATTTAGGTTGGGTGTTAGGGGGAAGTTCTTTACAGAGAGAGTGGTGAGGTGCTGGCACAGGCTGCCCAGAGAGGTTGTGGATGCCCCATCCCTGGAGGTGTTCGAGGCCAGGTTGGATGGGGCCCTGGGCAGCCTGGTCCAGTATTAAATGTGGAGGTTGGTGGCCCTGCATGTGGCAGGGGTTTGGAGGTTCATGATCTTGGGGCCATTCTGTGATTGCTGCCTAAAGATAGCAAAACTTTGGAATGTTCTAGAAACTGAGTTAACTCTTGCCTCATGCTGATGATGGACCTGCTTGTGGTGTCCGAAACCACGCAGCTTCAAGGTTTGCAGGAACCCTGTACCAGAAAACCCTGAACTAAGTGCTACATGATCATGGTTATTGTTCCTTCCCTAATTCCATGAAGTGTTTTGCAGTTCATTAGTGCCATGGAGGTGGATTTCTACACAGAAGCTGAGAGGGCTGGGGGGAGAACTGTGGCAGACCTCTGCATTGCAGCAAGTCTTGGTTGCTTGAATGGTGAATGTTTACCAGCTGGATATGTGCAAGAATAAACTGACGCTAAGACCAGTTCCTTCATAGGCAGAGTGCTTTGTTTTCTTTCTCCCCATACAGACACTTTAGCATCTGTAGCCTGTGTTGGACCAGGAAAAGCCTGCTGGTCTGACTGCCCACATGAGTCAGCAGAAGAGCTGCTTATCTCCCGCATGGTCCGAGTGTCTGACACTTCCAGGGAAGAGGAATAGTTGCTCAGACACTGGAATTTCCTTTGCTGCA